GTTTCCAGAATGACAGAATCATACTCATTCAAATGTAACAAGCACACAATACATTATACATGCAGTAAATCATGCATACTGTATATAACATATACAAGTAACAGATATACTTAACAGGTTCCAAAGTATCAGAGAGACAGAGAATGAGAGTAAATGAGTAATGGGGTTATGGGACAGTAATCACAGTATATGATGCAGTAGGAGCAGTAGGTGAGCCACCAAGTCACCAACATTTGCAATTCAAAACATGTTGGTGACACAGTTAAAACAAACCAGACATTTCATATAGCTCAGAATGCTTATTATCATTCACAAGGGATATAGGGGGCATCTGCTACAATTTCAGATACAAATTACCATTTTATGAACTGAAAGAGCAATACCAACCCTAAACCCTATATGCAGTAATGAGTGGAAGCTTCATCATAGCCAATGCCAAATCAAGAGCCAAGTACTCATGTTCATACACATTGACATGGAAAAAGAAGCACATAATTGTAGAAATGTACAATAAATAAAAGAAATATGTACACTTATTGGCACAATAGAGGCTCCAGTAGGAGCAGAAGCTCCACCACCAAGATTTCCATCCATGATTTCTGTAACAAAGAAACACATTGTTAGAATTTAGATGCTTCATAAATCAGAATAAATAAATAAAACATGAAAAATACATAAATGTGATACCCTTTTCCAGCCTCTCAACATCATCAATGTTTTCTTCAACTGAGACAGGCTGGTGAGCCTTTCTCAACCAATCTTGTGCACAAATAAGGGCTTCCACAATTTTACAACTTAATGAACTTCTAAAACAGTCCAAAACCCTCCCACTTGTACTGAAAGTGGACTCAGAAGCAACTGTTGAAATGGGAACACCAAGTACATCCCTAGCCATTTTAGAAGGTATAGGAAACCTTTCACTATTTAACTTCCACCATCTAAGAATATCAAAGTCCTGATCTTCCTCAATAATGGACTCAGCTACATAAATTTCAAGTTCAGATTTCTTAACTCCTAACTGACCACTCTCAAGTTTCTTCTTTTTAAGATCAGCCTTAAACCTGGACACAGGCCTACTTTCAGAATTACCAGAATCCATAGATGCTCCAGAACTAAAAGTTGAATTATGACTTCCACCAACACAGTCAGAGTAACTTGAAACATAATCATCAAATAACTCAGTTAGACCAGACTTCACTTTCAGAAAGAATTCAGCACCTTTTTTGTCACCATATAAGCATTCAGTTGAAATGGCATATACTCAAACTTGTCCCTAGGATCTAAGACATTTGCATAGAAGATGAGAAAGTTCATCTTTTCTGGATCACCCCAGTACTTATCTAATTTTGATTTCATAGTTGTCCCCATTGCACTGACAGAAGCAGTTGGAGAGGCAACCATATCTTTTAGGACAAGGAACAAGTCAGAGATTTCAGAAAAAAAGGTATTGGAAGTAACATAGAGTGAGCCTGAAATTCTAAGTGTCATTTCATAAAAACTTTGGAGAATGGTCACAAAAGATTCAACAGCAATCCAGTCTAAAACATCAGGAGTGTCATTACCCAAATCAATACCAAATGCAGTTTCATTCTCCTCATAGGCTTCAAAGACTTTCTCATTACAAATAGCAGATTTAAGCATCAGGTAAGTGGAATTCCACCTAGTTGGAACATCCAGGTGCAAACCACACTTGGCTTCCACTCCTATCAAATCAGATAAATCTTTGAACTTTTGAAGCCTAGCAGGTGAGTTCCTAACATACTTAACAGCTTCCCTTACTCTCATTACAGAAGTGTCTGCATCTTTAAGACCATCTTGTACTGCTAAGCTCAAGATGTGTGCAATGCAACGCATATGAACATACTTTACTTTGACAGAAGAAGCACCCCAGGATATTAATTTTTTCTTAAAAAAACCAACAGCTGTATCATTACTACTAGCATTATCAACAGTCACAGTAAAAATACTTTTCAGACCCCAATCAAGTAAGCAATTCTCTAGGGCTTTAGCAAGGTACTCCCCCTTGTGAGAGGTGACAGGGACAAATGAAATAATTTTTTTCTGGAGCTTCCACTGATCATCTATGAAGTGAGCAGTAATGCACATGTAATTTATCCTCTGAATAGAGGTCCATGTATCACTAGTTATACTAACTCTCTGAGTGTGTTCCCTAAAATTCCTTTTTAGAGTCATTTTTTCATCAAGGTATATTTGATAAATGTCTCTAGCAATCGTCCATCTAGAAGGAATTTGAAACCTAGGACAGGCTGCAGCCACAAAATTCCTGAAACCCTGTCTGTCTACAAAGCTAAAAGGAAGCTCATCAATGATTAGCATTACACCTAGAGCTCTCCTAATAGCTTCTTGATCAAACACCCAAGTTCCTAGGACCCCAATATTTGCAGAGGGTTCACCTATCTGTGCAGGGACAGGCTGGAAGGTTAATAGGGCCTGTCTAGTGTCTTTAGCATGAGGGTTTTTTAGGCAACTAAGCATGTGATTTCTGATGGAGGAAGTTCCATGTTTCTTAGAGTGGCACCAGTATATTTTTGCACAGTATATGCACCTGCCTTTAATAACCACACCCTTTTCATCTTTAATTTGGACAAAGTGCTCCCATATCTTAGATCTTGGTTCTACAACTTTTCTCTTTTGTCCAGAAACAGCAGGTCGTGCAGTCTAATCATTGCCATTGATAATGTTAGGTTCAGGAGTTTGACCTTCCACCAGTGTTTCTTGACTCAGAGGAGGTTGAGATCCAGATATAGAAAAGGTCACAGTTTGTTCAGGGTCCATCTAATGAGCATGACCACACAGTAACACATGATAATTTAATACTTAGCTTCCACATAGACACATAGTTATTATCTCATAGATAATATGTAAGTCTGGAACAATCAGCAAGCTGATTTACAGAAGGATAAAAGCACTTTGCATTTTCACTTCTCTACAGACTCTGAAGAAACCAGTTCACTCTTTTTACTCGTTTGAGTACTAGAGTACAAAAAGGCTTCTTCACAAAAGTAAGAATGCAGTTAATCAGTTATGTACAACAGATAACATTACAAGTAAGCCACACATGATATATTGATACTTGATAGGTGTATACTAAGCTTCCACAGTTCCACAGACCACAGTCATACTGAGCTTCCACTATTCCACATAGTTCATATGATCATATCTCACAGATAATAATCATAAAATGTGTATGGAACAATCAACAAGTGAATGTCAGAACTCATGTATATACAGGTCTTAACTCATCACTCATGTATAACAAGTCAGAAGTCAGAACCACATCTCCACAGAAGAAACATATGAATAGGCAACGCATGAATATCAGACTGGAAACACATGAAACATATGAATAGGCAACACATGATGATTGATGACATGAATATCTGCCAACACATGAATATATACATTCCACAGTTAGAACCACATCTCCACACTAAGCTTCCACATTTCAAAGTATACAGGTCTAAACTCAGAAATCAAGTATACAGCCATACAGGTCTAAACTTAAGTATACAAGTCAGAACCACATCTCCACAGTAGGCAACACATGAATATCAGACTACATATAATAATATAATATAGCTTCCACAACTCGACATTCATATTTCAATTTTCAAATAAACAGGGACATGCAACTCCGAAATCAGGTCTGTACATGACTGAACTCAGAAATCAAGCTAAGTGTGAAGATCTCAACATGCAACTTTCAGAAATATATACAAACATCAAAACATGTTTAAGTATTTTATACCTCAACGGCTCAAAGAACAAAGATCGGTAATCGGTCTCAAGTGTCAACTACTCACAGACTCACTGAGTCACACAACCAACACGCTCGGCTAGAAGGAGATGATTAGATGAATGCTTCCACTAGGTTGAGGATTACAGCCCCACAGCGACGACAGCGGCGGCCGACGAAGAGAGAATTCACTGAATGTAAGTTAGGGTTAGCCACTTAGAGAGAGTCAGAGAGAATCGAGAGATAGAGAGTGTAAGTTAGGGTTAACCGGAGAAAGGAAATAGGGATAAGTGGTCAGTGGATAAGGGAAATAGGGCTGGCCGGCTGGGGTTAATGGGTTAGAGGTTAATGGGTATGGGCTTGTGGGTATTGGGCTTAGGCTAGGTCGGGTTGTCGGGCGGGTCAGGTAGGCTTTAGGAGTACCCTACCCGCTATTACTCGGCCCAAATCTAAACGGTTGGCGGGTCGGTTTTCGTTGGCGGGTCGGGTCAATCGACCCATATACCCAAAATCGGTTATACCCGATCGGGTAGTTCGGGTAGGGTCGGTTATGCTCACCCCTACAGTTGGACCAAACTAAAGACAAGAAATGAAGAAAAACATGCAAATAATTTACCAAATAGACGGATAGACCCCCTCTTGATTAGCTGTGTTTTCATGCTATCATTTGTTGATACTTGATACATGCACCATCTTGATACGTTCATACTGATGATGCATCATATCATATAGGCTGGCACCATAAGTTAATAAACGTCGTTGTTGTGCCTTTCCAGAACAGTATTCAAGTAGCAAATTAATTACCTGAATTGTCAATTTACAACACCCAGTTTTCTTCCTAAAAATAACAATGTTGGGCTCAGTTACAGGTTTCTACTGCTGTTTTCTTCAAATGCATCAAAACGGTGAAACTTTATATCTTCAGATTTTAAGGAATGGCCAACCAATTTGATTCATATTTCATAATCCTCTGCCATTTTATCTGCTAAGGCTCTGTTAGTACACTAGTCTAATGTTGTTTGGACAAGATTCATTTTCGAATCTATGCAAAGGTTCATTCAATTTTTAAATTATTTGTGGTGGGGTTGCAATGTCTCACTGTTTTCATGCGCTTTCTTATTTTTTTTGTTCTTATATTTCGTCTTAATTTGTTACATTTCACAACCTTAAGATTTTCTAGCAGTTTCAAGTTAATTTGGTCTAAAGCATGATTTCCTCTTTTATTAATACTTGTTTTTTCTAGGATGGCTGCTTTGGTGAGCTTTATCGGTTATTCATGGATGAAGAACTCTTATGTGGAAGAAAACCTCTCCTTGGGACAATGATCTGATATGAACCCATCACCCTCATCTATTCTACCATCATCAACAATTCAAGGAAACCCCAAATCCAACCTCCTAAAAAAATGCATTGCGCTCTTGCTCTCATGCGCCTCATCCACTCACAAGCTCCGGCAAGTTCACGCCTTCTCCATCCGGCGTGGTATCCTTCTTTCCTGCCCAAATATGGGAAGGTACTTGATCTTCACTCTCGTTTCCCTCTCAGAACCCATGTCTTACGCCCAAAAAATCTTCAATGAAATCCAATACCCAAACATTTTCACATGGAACACAATGATTAGGGGGTATGCAGAGAGCGAGGACCCGGGCCCAGCAATCCAAATTCATACCCAGATGTGTGTGAACTCCATTGCGCCTGACACACACACTTACCCGTTTCTCCTCAAGGCCATCGCTAAGCTGATGGCTGTGAGGGATGGAGAAAAGATGCATTCTATTGCGATTAGAAATGGGTTGGAGTCGTTGGTCTTTGTTCGGAATGCTTTGGTGCATTTCTATGGTTCCTGTGGTCAGGCCGAGAGGGCACACCAACTGTTTGAGACAATGACCGACAAGTATCTTGTGGCTTGGAATTCTGTGATCAACGGGTATGCTCTTAATAGCAGGCCAAATGAGACTTTAGCTCTTTACAGGAAAATGGAGTCTGAGGGTGTTCAGCCTGATGGGTTTACTTTGGTGAGCTTGCTCACTGCTTCCGCTGAACTGGGGGCTTTGGCTTTGGGTAGGAGGGCTCATGTGTATATGGTGAAAATGGGATTATATAGGAATTTGCATGCCGCTAATGCCCTTCTAGATCTTTATTCCAAATGCGGAAACATAAGGGAAGCAAAACAGGTCTTTCATGAGTTAGAGGTGAAGAATGTTGTTTCCTGGACTTCCTTGATTGTTGGGTTAGCTGTCAATGGATTTGGTAAGACAGCCCTTGAGCTTTTCAAGGAGATGGAAACGGAAGGGTTTGCTCCAACCGAAATCACATTTGTCGGCGTGCTTTACGCTTGTAGCCATTGCGGAATGGTAGATGAGGGATTCTCCTACTTCGATAGGATGCAAAAGGAGTTTCGAATCAAGCCGAAAATAGAACATTTTGGTTGCATGGTTGACCTATTGGGAAGAGCTGGTTTGGTTAAGAGAGCGTACGAATACATAAAAAACATGCCTTTGGAACCGAATGCTGTGATATGGAGAACTCTCCTAGGCGCCTCCTCAATACAAGGGAATTTTGAACTAGGAGAAGTTGCACGAAACCAACTCAAGCTATTGGACCCCACACATTCTGGTGACTATGTTCTCCTCTCAAATCTGTACGCGTCAGGTAGAAGGTGGTCGGATGTTCACATGGTGAGGGAGACAATGCTTCAAGAAGGGGTCAAGAAATTGCCGGGCCACAGTCTGGTTGAGTTAGGTAACCGTGTGTATGAATTCGTTATGGGAGACATGACACATCCCCAAACGCATTCTATATATGCAAAGCTTGCGGAAATGACCAAAGCCTTGAGGGTGGAAGGGTACGTCCCACACACCTCGAATGTGCTTGCTGACATTGAGGAAGAGGAGAAGGAAACTGCACTCTCTTATCACAGTGAGAAGATTGCAGTTGCGTTCGCTTTGATCAGTACGCCACCTGGGGCCCCCATAAGAATCATGAAGAACTTAAGGGTGTGTGCGGATTGTCATCTTGCCTTTAAGATTGTTTCCAAAATTTACAGACGAGAGATTGTTGTTAGAGACCGTAGTCGCTTTCATCACTTTTCAGACGGGACTTGTTCTTGTAGAGATTATTGGTAAGCTTTGATTTGATCTTCGTTTTTAGAAAGAATGATGTAGAGAGCGGCATTATTTAAATGACACAGAATGTTTTTGTGATACATGTGAAATGGCACACAAAGTCGGAAATGGTGACATGTCACTGACAATGTCACTCTCGTATCACAAAATATAACGATACAATAACATTGTTTGTCTTTATGACATCCGAGTATCATACTTTTTTGGGATAAGGGTCAGATAGGGCCTCGAACTTGAAAAAAAATGTCAAATAAGGCCATATTTAGGATGCTCTGTCCGGCCGACGTCATTTGGGGTGGTTCCCGGTGGAATTTTTTGATGAAATTTTTTGAGAATCTTATTCATTAAGTCTAGTTTACTCATATCAAATTTGAACTAACAATTCAACCGGGAAGGCATTCAAATGAATTCATGAAGATAACTACGCTTTTAACGGTACAGTTATCTTCAAGAATTCATTTGAATGCCTTCCCGATTAAAGTTTTAGTTCAAATTTGATATGAGTAAACTAGACTTAATGAATAAGATTCTCAAAAAATTTCATCAATAAATTCTACCGGGAACCAACCCAAATGGCGTCGGCCGGACAGAGCATCCTAAATATGGCCTTATTTGACATTTTTTTTCAAGTTCGAGACCCTATCTGACCCTTATCTCTACTTTTTTTTTGAAAAGTCTGATACATTAATATCACAAATTGTTTAATGAATATAATTTATATATTGATATTGTTGTCATTAATTTAATTAAATGTATACAACAACATACAGTTTTAGAATATACGGATGAAATGGAAAACAAAACACAATGATGAAATGGTTCAACACAATTCCATTTTCCCTCCATCTGAATTGTAGTTTTTTTCCAACATCTAATAGAAAACAGGAAACTGGATAAAACCTAAACATATTAGATGACTATTTTAACTTGAGCTGGGAGCAAGTATAATGCAGACCACGGTTGCCCCTTCACTAGCATGCAACTATACCAAATGGAAAATCATTATCAATGAAACTTGTTTTTTTACAGCAGAAGCCATATTATTAAAAAAATGCCTAAATAGGAATAAAAATGTTTGCAATTTTCAAAATAGGACTTTCATATTTCTCTCTTAAATATGAGTACTTGCTGGCATATTTTGGCAATACCAAACTACAATCGTGACATTATTTTATAAGTTTAGACATAATTACTCCTATTTAGAGACATATTTTTAAAATTTCAAAACTTTTTTTACTTCTATTTCGGAAATTTTCTCTAATATTAACAATACACATGCATGCTAAATAACAAGCATGCTCTAGTCATGATGAAGTATATCAAACAAAGTAAAAGGTGAATAGTCCAAGTTCTTTTGTTATCGATGAATCAACATACTTTAATTGTGGGTTTCATACATAGAGACATAGAGTGGCTTAAGTAGTAATATTCGATCATATTGTACCATTTGTACGTGTGAGAGACCATCATATAGGGAGAAGTCCTCAAATAGGAGTAAAACTTATCCATTTCCCAAAAATAGGATTAAGTAGTTTGGACGTTCATAAATAGAGTTTTTTATTTGTGGTTGGAGCTATTGCCCAGGTCATCTGACTGCCAAAAATTATTTCCAGAATTGCTCTGATGATCTGCAAGATTTCCGCCGCCCTTGGAGTTTGTTGCCGCCACGACAGACTAATCCGCCACCAATGGGTTAACCTTAATTACGCAAGGAACTAAGGGACAATTAATTAAGTTAAATAATTCATTAAATTAGTGGTAGAAATAGAACGATTAGTCATATTTACAGAAATCTTCTCTATGATCTAATAAGGAGCAAGGACATGATCAGGTTGAGAGAACAACCCATAAAATGCATTTCTATATTTTGTGATGAAGTGGTGAATACCTATCAAGAGAAATTGGATGTGAATTAGAAAATATAAGAACTCCTCCTCCCTAAAAAATAACACCAAGGTTAAGGAGCATTCAAACTGGAAAAATCATAATATCATCGTGGAGGACTTTTAAGAACATACATAAATTACAATTTCGTTTATTAATTTGTGTATTTTACAATGTGGAAGTCTCACAGTTTAGTTTTTGGAGAAGTATATAGACGCTCATAAGGATTTGCATTTGATGTTCATTGACTTAGAAAAAGCTTATGATAGGGTACCTTGAGAAATTCTTTGGTGGGCCTTAACTAGAAAACGCATATCACGCAAATATATCTGCATCATCATGGATATGTATGATGATTGTACTACAAGTGTTTGTACTAGTGTAGGGAGGAATGCGGAGTTCCCTATTACTATCGGAGTCCACCAGAGATCGGCTCTGAGCCCTTTCTTATTTGCCATATTCATGGATGAACTTACAAAGGCAATTCAAGACGAAATACCGTGATGCATGATGTTTGCCGACGATATTGTATTGACTGATGAGACGCAATCACGTCTTAAAGCAAAGTTGGAAGTATGCGAGACACATTGGAGAACAAGGGTTTCAAACTAAGTCGAAGCAAGACAAAGTACATGGAGTGCAAGTTTGGTGGAGGTAGAAGCAGTGGTAATAGCGGAATTCCTCTAGATGGTAAGGAGATACCGATCAGCGATATGTTCCGTTACTTGGGCTCCATAATTCAGAAGGGTGGTGAGTTAGGTGGAGATGTATCCCATAGAATCAGGATAGGGTGGATGAAGTGGAAGAGTGCGTCAGGATTTCTATGCGATAGAGGTATGCCGACTAGACTGAAGGGTAAGTTTTATAAGACAACAATTAGGCTTGTGTTACTGTATGACGTAGAATGTTGTGCGGTGAAACAATGTCACATTCAAAAGATGAGTGTGACAAAAATGCACATGAGAAGTGTGGGCATACTAGGAAGGACCACATGAGGAATGTGACAATTAGAAAAAGGGTGGGAGTAGCACCTATTGAAGACAAGATGCAGAAATCGCGCCTACGGTGGTTTGGTCATGTGCGTAGAAGACCGAGTGATGCACCTGTCAGGCGAGTTGAGATGTGTGGATAAGAGGCAGGGAAGAGAGGGAGAGAAAGACCCAAACAAATGTGAGTTAGGGGAGTCCAAAGGGACATGTTTCTTCTTGGGTCAGATGAAGATATGACTTTAGAAAGAGTAAAGTGGAGGGCGGGTATTCGTGTGGAGGAGTGATCTCATTTTTTTCTTTTTTTCTTTTAATCCTTTTATGCTTATATATATAAACATTAATTTTATCCTTTTCATTTAATCATTTTTAGGTATATTCATCTCTTTTTATATTACCTTTTTCATAATAGCTTATCTTTTTATCTTTATTTTCTTTCTTTTCTTTTTGGTGGTGATATCATGTATCGATTCATATTAGTCGACCCCAATATCTTTTGGGACTAAGGCTTGGATATTGTTGTTGTTGTCGTTGTATATTTTTAAGTTCCATTTAAGTATTGGGTTTAAAAGAGAAGTGATCAGGTCCAGCCGGAGGGACGGGAAGCGCCGTCCGAACTCCGCCGTTTGGGGCGGTTCCCGGTGGAATTTTTTGATGAAATTTTTTGAGCATGTTCTTCATCAAGTCTAGTTTGTCCATACCAAATTTCAGCTCAAAATTCGATCGGGAAGGTCGTCAAATGATTTTTGCAAGTTAACTGGTCTGGAAAATACATATTCCGGACGAGTTAACTTGCAAAAATCATTTGACGACCTTCCCGATCGACTTTTGAGCTGAAATTTGGTATGAACAAACTAGACTTGATGAAGAACATGCTCAAAAAATTTCATCAAAAAATTCCACCGGGAACCGCCCCAAACGGCGGAGTTCGGACGGCGGCTGGACCGGGGAGGGCTGGACCTGATCTTTTTTGGGGTTTAAAATAATTTCTTTGTGTATTTATTGTTTCCGCTACTTTCTATTGGTACTTTTTGTAAAGGGAGCTTAGATGTTATGTACGGAGTAGTACTTTGTACTCCCTCCGTCCCGAAAACAACCTCCCGGTTTGACCTACACACATATTTAGGAAATAAATTTGACTTTACTGTAGAGTACACTGTTTGGCATTGTTTAGACACTGTTTGGCACTGTATAAATACTGTTTGGCACTGTTTAAACACTGTTTGGCACTATTTATCACTTTTTTTATGTAGATAATTTGCCAAATAAGGAAAGTATTGAAGTGGGAAGTTAATTTTGGGACATCCATTTAAGGAAAGTGGGAAGTTGTTTTTGGGACGGAGGGAGTATATGTTTAAAATTATTTTACAAGATACGATAGGACAGATCAGACTTAAACAACTCAAATCAGATTTCTACAGTTATAAAATGCACATAGACCAGACATCTACTTATCTTGATCAGACCAATTCAGACAAGACTTACACAAATCAGACTGGACCGGAAAATTTCAACCCAATTAAAAACATGCTAAGTAACGATAATGAAAAAATGTTAATTCCCTAAATAAGACTAAAATAACAAGGAAGTGCGCAATAGAACGTTCATGTTTCATAGGACAATCCGACAATGACTTTGCCGTTGTCCTTTCAGCCTGTTTGGATTGTGTGTTGAGGAGTGTTAGTAATGGAAGTGTTAGTAAGGCCATGTTTACTTGAAACTTAATGGACTGAACTGAAACCATGACTTGTTCGTCCATCTATGTATGTGTGTTTACTTATGACTTAATGTTAAGTATAACTTATTCGGTCAGACCATTTGTGACTTAATCACTCAGCCAACTTTTAATACTCCTTACGGTTCAGACGTATTTGAGTGTCGACATTCTCGTTTCTAACCCTCGGCTCACTTCTCCTTCTTGATCGCAGTTCTCCAAGGTATATCAACTGTTGGCATCATCAGCCTCCAAAAATCTGGTCAATCGGAGCCTCCAAAGATCTAGAGCCTCTAAACGCCTTCGCAGATAAAGGAAGGCTTCGACCTAGGGTGGAAGCTTCCTATAGCAAGTTGAGCTCGTTCATATGTTGCTTCCCAGATTGTTTTGAAAATATACAAATTGGGGGAGAACTGAGAAGAAATCAAAAATTGATGGCTGCTGCAATACGATGGGTTCTTCTACAAAAACTTTTATTCCTTTCATCGTCAATTTGTTATTTGTTGTTTTCTTCGCTGGGAGGAAATTGAGTTCTTTAGGCTGCAATTACAGATAGATGTATCAGTAGCAATTCACTAGAGAGGGCAGCTGGCTTGGGGTGAAGTGAGGCCTCAAACATGAAACCATTCCCTCAAGAGTATGACTA